GGTTCCCACTTGCAAAGAAAGGATTATAGCTTGGGCATTTTTGTCATTTCGAAAATGAATTCATGCATTGCTCAAAACCGCAAGTGGGTAATTATGTCTTTTTGTATTTTGACTGACGGTGAGTTCACGTCGGGTACTAGATCGTCGCAAATTGAAAGTTCGTGAACGGAGGGGAGATCCATCATATGGATGGCCAAACCCTGCAGGAGGGTTGGACGACATTTCAAAAATTTCTTTACTCCCTTCCGGGAATTCTATTCCCAATTTAGAAAACTGCATTTTCAAAGTTCGTTCTTGTAACCAAACCAGACCAAATCTGAAACCAAATTAAGGGAGGGATATACCTGATACGGAATCCACGCAAGAATGCTCCTCCCAATGTAGGTGTTCACGCCCGAAGAGAGTACCAAATCCTCCCTCCACTGAAGATGACACAGCTTTGGGTGAGGCAGGATCAGCAGGTAGTTCTTCACCAAGAACTAGTGGTTCTTCTGCAAGAATCGAATAGGACAATGAGCACAGCTTCTAGATTGTTTCTTCTTGCAAGAAACAATATCAAGATCCAATCTTGATCGAATCCAAGAACTGGAGATCGAACAGGGTGGGGCGGCAAGAGTAGGAAGAAACAGAGAAGAAGGCAAGAGCAGTCTAATTGTGTTGTCTTCTCTCTATATTCAGCAAATGTGTTCTTGGAGGTTCGCCCTGCTCTCTTATTTATAACCTTAAAGAGAAAATTTTCTAATCCCATTAGGAGTTTCCTAATCCAAATCTTTTATTTGGATCTTGACTCTTTAAGTGATAAATATAATCTCTTATCTTATCTGCAGATAAAGATCAACCTTCCTAATCAAATTAAGAGTTCCAATGATCTAAATCTTTATTTGGATCTGGACTCTTTAAGTGGATAAGGATAATYCCTTATCTTATCTACTGATCCAAATCCCAGATCCGCCCCTATTTAATTAATCTAATTAACCCAGTTCCAAATGGGCTTTTAGGACCATTAAGCTTTCAGGCTCACTTCCACTTTAATGTTGGCTAGCTTGGCTCTCTTTGTATGGCGTGGGACCCTATCATTGATCTACACATCAGCCACATGGATTCAATCTAGCCTCTGTTATAAGGCCTGGCCGAATTTACTGATGAATACAGTGAACCCCTGAGTCCATCACTATGGGCTCTCAATGGACCCAACATTTACACTAAATGGTCCTTGGGTTCAGTCATCTTATGAAAGGCCCAAGGACTGTGGGAAGATGCAAGATTAGCCCATTAGGTATAACCCTAGGCTGCAAAGTGCAGTGTTGCACTCTCTACTCACATGGATCACAAGAATTAAAACCTTTTAAAAAACATTTTGAAACCATAATATATATATATATATATGTATATCTCTATATAAATATATTTTGCAAAAACAAATTTCAATGGTTGAAATCAACTGCCGGCAATTTAGGTTTCCATTAGAGAGAGTGCATCCCAATCATTCACTTTGTTCGACAAAAGGAGTTGATCCTATCACTATGACCACCCACTCAGATGAATTCTCAGACTGTCCCAACATACCCAGGTTTTGACCTCCTCTAAGGATCTCATTGATTGGCATATCAAAGACAGCCCAATCCGACACCAAGTGCAGCATCATAATCGAGTCTAGGGGTCAGGTGTAACATTCTAGTTTTGCCCATCTATCTCCAAGGTCTAAGGCAATACTGGAATTTTGGTCTGGTTCAGGGTTTCAAGAAAACTCACACTGCATGTACCTCAGGTCTCATCCTAGCAGCTAAAACAAGCCACTCCAACCAACTTGGCGGTACATCAGTGTCAGCCTTGGCAGGATAAATCTCCCCAAATCTATCCAACGGCTGTGAAGATTCTAAACTAACACAAGTCTCATATGTGTCCAGTTTAAGGGTATTACACAGAAACACACCATAATAACATGAATCAAATATGTACTTTATTCATTTACAATAAATGTCATAATGTACATCATGCTGATTGGAGCTAAGGGCATAAACTATCTACAGTCTGGGTACTAAATTGTCGCATTTTAAAGTTCGGGTACTAAATTGGCACTCGACCTAAAGTACAGGGTACCTATTAGGAATTTTCCCTTAAATTTAATATGAGAAACAATACAATTGTCATCTACAAAGACATAAGGTGATCCCTTGCTTTGCTAAAGTGTCAACCAAAGCATTTTCTGACCTCCTAGTCCATTTAAAATGTGCCCCCAGCTCCTTTGTTAGGTTCAATTATGACATGAACAGGAAACTCTTTGCTTCTCCTTGTTAGCTTTTTTAGTTTTAATGGGCTCCACCCCAAATACCCCCCCCCCTCTTTCATTCTAGCAAATACTTTCAACACTTGAACAGTTTGATGGTTTATCTAGGTCCTAAATCACCTTACTGCATTAGGAATCTTGTTGATAACTTCAGGATCCTTAAGATTCTCGACTACATTCTTCTCAAAGAGCTTCTCTTCTACCACCTTAACACCCTCTTTAAAACTATCGCCTGCAACTCTAGAAGACCTCAACCTATCTTGATCATCTCCATTGCTTATATTAGAATCACCACAATAGGTCCAATTTTCCATGCTCCCTCGCCTTCGGAGGTTTACAAAACTTTTCTTCCAACTCCTTAAAAGCTTTCTTTTCAAATCCCCCCCCCAATAAAACATAAGCCCAAGAGAGTTTACTTACCCCCACTTCTTTGTTCACCACTGTCTCCAAATCAATTGATTGAGTTTCATCAAGAAAAATATCACCCTCACTTGAATAATTTTCTTCATCAGAATAAGCCTTAACCACCTCATAATTGAATGTCCAAGTTCTGTATCTCCTTCTCTTCTACAGAAATTTGAACAAGAACTCTCAAAATCTTTCTTCCTTGAATGCCCCTACTCTTCCATCACCCTCTCCTTCTCGTCTCCAATCCCCCCTAACAACCCTGCTTTGTCTTGGGGGTTGAAGAATTCCTTTTTCAATAACATCTCTATATCCTCCAGCGGAGACCATCTACTACCAAAAAGAGACAAGAGTCTATCCCAAAAGTGGATGTATAATTGTAGGGGATTAGTAGATGAAATGCAGATTCTCCATTTGCTTCACAAAGGACACATGTGAGGAGAAACACAACAGTTTGGTCTCCTTTTTTGCAAGGTATCACAAGTGTTGATCTTCAAAAGACATGTCAAAGGGAAAATAGACCAAATACATGAATCAAGAGTTGACAGGTCTAAGAAAATGCCTCCCAAAAACAGAAAGAAGTTCCACCACCAAAACACTTTCAGAGTCTCAAAGGCCTATTCTAAAGCCCAAAGTCCAAGAAACACTCCCATTCAAAACACTCGCCATATCTGCAATGGTTTTCTATTCAAAATTCGAGATGGAATATAAAACTAGAAAGCAGCTTTTGAACACAGTTTCCTCCCACCAATGGTCTTCCCAAAATTTGAATTTGTTACCATAAGCAGCATCTTACCCAATGACCTGACTCAAGAGATGAAAATTTTCCAAAATAGCTTTCCAAGGAGAAGTGCAAGTGGCTCTATTTGCCAAGTCGAATGGCATTAAAAATAGGAAAGTACCCAAATTTTAATTTTTTTATTATAAAATTCTCATTGCCTAGGTGACTAGGCACCGCACTGTCACCCAATTTTGCCCAAAATCCTTGATAACTATGGGTGTAAAAAATGAACTCTTTCATAAGACAGTGACATCAAGATCAAACAAATACCAATTCAGCAAAGTCTTTCACATACTCATGTTCAGTATTCTAGTCATTTCCCATTGACCTTTAGATATAGGATGAAAGGTGAATGGCACCTTTATAATTAAGGCCACTTATATGAATATTATACCAATGGTAAAAGTAGCAAGGAAGTGATAATGGACAACCATCAAGAGGATGTAAGTGCTGCATTTTTTTCTTGTCCAATATGCTGAAGCTTTGGATGGTGGACTTGTACAATAACAAGAAGGAGAAAAAGAAGAGATAGAGAAGCCTAGGAAAAGGGAGGAAGTAGAGCTTGCCAGTTGCCACCCTAAGTCCTAACTCTAACCTTTATGGGTTTTTTATTTGATAGTGAATTCTACCTTTATGGTTTCATCAAACAAAAGATAAAGGCTCAGGACAGAATCTCACCACCACCAAGAAAAGGTTCCAATTTCTAAGAACAAACAAGTTCTAACTTCTAATACAAACTGGAATTCTTTCATTATAGAGAAAATGCAGAGTTACATTATATAATAGAACTTAGGTATCCATTCAGGAGAATAAATCACTTCTAAAGCAAGACAAGAGATATACTTCTAACCTGGAGCACAGAAGCAGATTGACTCAGTCATCCACTCAAAAAGCCAATAACCTAGCAACTTTTTATTAAAAGAAAAAATCATACTAGAGGTTTGAGGAAAAATGCTAAAGCTGCTATCATTATTTCAGGGAGTTTTCTTGCTAATGTCCATAACCATGTGAATCTCGCAGGTTCAATCTCATATTGTGATGAACTGGATGAGAAGAAACCCCATTGGGCTGTGGAAAACCAGTTATTTAATGAGAGACACGGGGCACAAGTGCCACGTTTAAACATCTTTCAGAAGGGTACTGAGGTCAACCAACTCAGTTGTATAACCAAGCTACAGGGATATGGAAGGAAATAAGCTATATTGGACCCTATTATGCGGCATGCCAATCTAATTGTGTTTTTCATTTGGTATATGTTGTATGGGAGAACCCCATGTTTGGGCTTGGGATGCTGTAGAAAGAAAAGTTTACAGTGAAGCCCTTTTATGAGCATATGTGGCATCTATCAACAATTCCTTCTCCAAAGGTCAGTCTGTGCACTCATCTCACAAGCCCAAATTCTTGAGCTTATGAGCATATGCATCAAGCAGTCACACCCAAAAAAAAAAAGTGCAAGATATATGGGATGGAAAGTTGAGGGGAGGAAAGGAGAACATATGAAACAGTTTCTTTTTTCTTAATACATACCATAACTCTCAACACTGTCAAAAAGCTTGGTAATGTCATTCTTCACTGTAGCAATCTGTCAAGAAAAAGTGCATGCTAGTTACATAAAATCGAAAGTAAGATACCTTTTAACCACATTGCAAGTAATAAACATAGCAATTTCTGGAAAATATACAAGCACAACTAGATTAAGTTATGAATAAGTTCTTTTTTCATCATTAATGAATTATGCATAAATCTTCAATGTCCATTACCACGTTGCCGGGGGCAGGGGCAAGACTGCTTGGCTAAACTAAAGAGCATATTCAGGTTTGTTCTTTCACCTTGCAACTGGTGGATTGCAGCTGCACAGTGCTCTCAAATGGGATAGTTATGACACATGACGAGAGAAGTTTCTAACTACATTTTTTCTTAGACAATCACATTCTCTTTTTTTTTTTTGATTGGTAGCTTTCAAGGAATTTATTAAATTGTGGTCAATGAGGATTGTGCTTAGCACCCCTCGTGCTACTTTGAATAGCTTTAGATTTCTCCTGAATCCCTTTCCTTCATTAGATTAATCATTGTTCCCTCCTCTGAGTGGTTCCACAGAACATTTGAGCCCTGTTAACCCCTTATCTTGCTAGTATGTTTGCCATGCCATAGATAACCCCATTCATGTGCATGGATGAATGGCTGGGAAGGTCCATTAGTGTCCAAGGTATGCCAGTGCCAGTTCCCACAGGGCCCTTTACATTGACATGAAGAGCTTCATGACCCCCCCCCAACACCTCCTCCAGCAATGCTAGATCTCAACTGCAAGTCTGCAAGACCATCAAACCTGCTGTTCCTGCCAAATTTCCAACATTTCCCACCAACACGGGGTAATTTCCCATGTAAGGAATTGATAAGATCTGTTCAAAGAAATCATTACCTAGACCTCCTGGTGGGTAATGGTTAATATAAAGAGCATCAACAATGAGTGGGAGTTTGAAAACCCCAAAGGCGGTTTTTGAAGAAAAACTGCAAAAGGAATTCAGTGAGAAAGAAGAAAACAAACACCAACAACTAGCAAGCACTTGACCAGCTTCAAAATACTATCCCTTCGCTTTGTTCTGACATTGTTTCTCGCGCTTAAAGAGAAAGACAGAGAATAAACCTTAACAGTTAGATTGCTTCAAATGTTGAGAAACCCTACCTACATCTATTTCATAAGTAAGAAATTGAGAATGTAAATTAACATTTGAAATCACAGTTATTGATAAAAAAAATTAACATTTGAAATCTACTTGGTTTCTTAATGGGTCCAATACTCCAATTTGATAATATCCAATCCAATCCTATAATATAACAGTCCACCTTATACTGGTCCAATCAAATTTGATAAGCTTAACGGGCATCCAAACTCCAAATCCAACCTTATTTGATTGGACCCAATCCAAACCCGGTCCATTGACAGCTCTAATGAAATCAAGTTGTTGATTGGTTGGGAAAGATTTTTTATAGAACTTTAAAATTTTACTAAAGAATCATCAAAATATGCAAACAATACAAGCAACTCTTGAAGAGGAGTGAGGTGCAACCTCTCACAAAGACTTAAATCAGATTACAAATGATCCCAATACAAAAATTTCCTATTAACCCCTTGCTTTGCTAAAGTGTCAATCATGCCATTTGCCTATCTTCAAACCCATTGTGTCCTCAATGTCATGTTTCTAGTTAACCATTTGAATCTCTTCATTACATTGCTATAGCCCATGCTATGGTTTCTGGGTTCTTCAACGGTTCAACCATCCCACCACCACCTTAGAGACCCCTTCAATAAGCAAATTCTCCATGTCCAACTCTTTTGCAATCTGCACCCCTTGAACAACATCCATGAATTCAGCCCTGATAAAATCCCCAACACCTGTTGGTCCCAAGGGCTAAGACAAAGGAACAACATTACCATCTCTGTCTCTAAAAACTCCCCCTACTCTAGAAGCGCCAGGATTTCCTTGGCTACCCCCATCAAAATTTAGTTTAATAAAACCTTCAACAAGAGGCAACCAGAAGAGAAAGAGCTGGTTCTTTTTTAAAGAGGTTCTTGCCACCTCTCCCAATTTCCTCCAGATACCATCATAGGAGAATTGTGAGAAAATGTCCAGTATTCTGACCCAATGTATCACCCTATCCATAACTCAAAACACATTGGGAAAGCATATCAAGAACAGTTCACTGTATTTGACCATTTTCTCCATATTTTTTCTATCATTAACACTTCAGCATATTAAGACCACAGAATTACAAAGACCATAAAAGAATATCATGTTATTGGTGAGGTACAACTAAGGGTGGTTTTAAGAGATGACTGGAAACATTTTCCTGTAGTGGTGAGTCTGGTAACTGGTTAAATGGAGAAAACTTCCCTGAGCACAGCAAGCTACTGTTTTCTGATAGAATTTCCCACATGATTATTCATTTTCTAACCATAATCTGCCTGCCTCTGAAAACAAGTGATTTTTTTTTGAGTAAAAGGTGACTAAGATTTTATTAATAAAAGGTGGTACATGAGAAGATGTATACCAAAGCAAAGCAGATAAAGGTTACAAAGGTAGAGCACTATTACTAAAAAAACAATCTCTATGAGCACCAGATTTAGCTAACCCATATGCTACAGTGTCCAGTTCCCTGGGAATCCAGTTCAATTTAACCTAACCTGCATTGAGTCCAAGATGTCTCTAACTTCTGCCAAGAAATGAGCCAAACTCCAAGAAATGAGTTCAATTTAACCTAACCAGCTAAGGGTTTTTCCCTTGGGGGTTTGTTGTAATCTTTCACATCTAATGAAATTTACCTTACCTTTTTTCAACAAAAAAAAAACTATGAAATAGAATTTGATATTTGGATCTACCTCAAACACAAGAGAATTCAGACTGGATTCAGACCACAACTCAGTATGTTTATTTCTTTAAGAACAAAATCAATTTCTAAGGACTGGTAAGCTCAGTTTTAACTAACTAAACTAGTAGAACATTTATAAACGATTGTATAGTTATTTACTTCATTCAGTAAGTCTCAGAGCATCAATGTTGTTTGGATGGTCAAATTGTCTATTTCTAACTCCAATATAATGCAAAAATGTCCACTCCCTAAATTAATGGCAAAGGAAAAAAGGAAAAAAAACCTTCCCAAGCCATCAACCCCATCTGAAGCTACCTCTTTCTCAAAGTCTGGACCTTTTTTAATCATTATTAATGTCAAAGGACTTAGGGGCCATTAATTAGTGTAAAGGTAAAATCTTGGGCTGCCAAGCATGAGAAAAATAACAAAGGTTAGGGCATACCAGTCTACCCCTCACAAGACCCATAGCTGCGGCCAACATTGGGTAATAGCTTTTTTTCTTAATGTCAGAAGACTTCATGGACAATGGCATACTTAAACCAAATAATAAATGCATAAGAATAGCAGCCTTATCATCCTTACATGAGCTAGCCTCCAAATATTGAACTAATGAAGTCTTTGACAGTCAGGACTCAGGAGTAGCACAGAAAGCCACCTTACCATTGATTGATCAACCTCAGAGGATGCTAATGAAACTATTCCAGCAATTGTTTCCAGTGCTATCCCTGTAATAAGGATAATATACACAAAACTTATCTGGGCCATCTGCTAGCATTTAACGGCAAATATCATATTATCTTTGTTAAAATACACAAGGAATTACAATCAATACCAGCAGCATAAGTGCTAGATTCAGCAATATTGGAATTAGAACTGTAGTGCCATCTTCCATCACTTTGACTGAGAGCCTGTCAACAATATATCAATGTAAAATTTATCTATCGGCAGTATAAATTCTACTGCTGCAAATGGAAGAAGAGGATGATCGTTATAGAAGTTGGACAATTAATACAGTGATATTGACTATAATGACCTTAATAGAATGCAAAACTCCATCTGCATCTGCCAGATGAACATTGATTTTAGAATCCTCACCCTGCATGACACAATCAAAAAAGAAAGTAAAACAAAGGGGTTGATTTTATCAAAAGTCCTATGCATCATGTCAGAGAGTGCAATAAGAAGACTTATCACTTTCTACCTTGGCAAGATTACACCCCCCTTTCTTAGCATTCAATAACAGAAAGACACAATAATATAGCTGGTATAGAATCTAAATTTTGTAAGACCTGGATAATGAAAACTCGTGCATAGATGGACACAGCTAATAAATAGAGGGGGGAAAAGACGTAGAATCACAATGATGTTTGGAAAGCAAAACCTACACCTATGTTGCATTGCTTAATAGTAACGGTTACCTTCATAAGTACCAAACCTCCGATTGAGTGGTAGAAATCCAGCAATGAATTTGCATCCTTAATAATGGTTTGAAGTTTTGAAATAGTGCCCTTTAAAACATAAGAAAAATAAATTACTGCTAATACATAGTACTGACTCAATAGACATAAAGAATAAATCAAAACACTGGACAATAGTTCGAAAAAAAAATACCTCAAAAACTTCGGCATTAATATCACACTTCAATATGCTATTAACCCTCAAGGCATAAAACAAATCTTTGGTACTCGAAGATGATGAACTAAGCTTCTCGACAATGAGAAGACATGTGGCTCTACTGAGGTCAACATTCTTTTCTATGCCAAGGATCTGAAATGTTCTTAACGCCTCGTATATTTCTTCTAAGCTGGAAAGATATAGCATAAAATCAATTACTCAGTAACTCGAGTCCTAAGTAACGATATTAAGAGAATGAATTTGTCAACAAGGTAATGCGATCACTCTAGTACAGCTTCAAATTCAAGTAGAAAACACTCAACATCTCCAATGTGTAAAATCAAGCATAGTTTGACATTCTCAATCCGATTCAAAGAGATTTAAGGTATACATTATACAAAAAAACAACGAGTAATGGAATTTGAGAATTAGGGTTTAATTGGGGTTTATCGGAGACCTTCCGTAGGATCCATCGTCCGGCATAAACAGCTCCAAAGCAGCAGATCGGTGACTATCCGTGATCGGACGAAAGATCGCAGCTTCACATATAAATAACGAAAGAAGAAGAGGAACCATAAACCCGATGTTTCTGGCCATGCCTGCAGAAATCAAACAAAGGGAATGTTGGGAATTGAATGAACTCCGCCTCGACGASTGCTGAGAGCGTTTTCTCCAAACGGAGGAGGGACGGAGACTTGTGACCTTTTATTGGTAGATTACGAAAAAGTGACTCTCATTAGTCTGATATCGGGTAAATGGTTTTTTTGCCTAAATATCGGGTGAATGGTTGGGTAATGGGTGTCAACAAGGTTTTAAAAACTGACCCGGAAACGGAATCGTTCAGGTCACCGGTTTTCGGGTCAGTGGTTCGCCCGTCTGAGTCAAATGATTTGAATGATTTGAACATTTTATCCATTACATTGAAATATTAGGGTAAGATGCAAATAAATATGTATTACTACTTTTTTTTTTGCTTCAATCTATTACTACATATAAAAGTGGAAATAAGGAGGTATTGGCCTCAAGAATTTTTCTTTACTAAAATATCCCTCATCTTAAATTTAGTTCATCTCCATTGAAAAGACAGAAATAAAATGTAAGTAAAAGAATAACATTAAATACATTCAATTATATCTCATTAAGTCTCACATTTAAGTCATTAAATAAATCGCATTCTCTATCATTGAATCCAACATTTATACTTTGTTTATCATATTAAATTCCACTAATAGATCCATACACAATCATTATTAATAGAGTTAAATTTTATATTTTTTAAATAAACATAGAAATTAAATCATACTTTTCATCTAAGTGGTGGGTAAGTAGTTCAATCATGGGTAAAATGGATAATTTCATGATGTCATAAATAAACAATACAAATTTAGAAATATAAAAAATGTGTTTGTTTATTGTCATTAAATTCCACTGATAGATCCATACACAATAATTAATAATAGAATGAAATTTTATATTTTTAAAATAAATCTATAAATTAAATCATATTTCCATCTAGATGGTGGGTAAGTACTTCAACCATTTGGGTCAAATGGATAATTTCATGATGTCAAATAAATAATACAAATTTAGAAATATAAAAATACAAAAATATAGAAAAAAAGGAAATTTAAAAAAAAAAATTGGACATATTTCTATTATTATATATTTTTTCATATTAAAAAATAAGTATGATAAAATAGGCATAATTTTATTAATGATGGACATCAAATATACAACTTAAAACTGATGAGAAATTAAACCATCTTCCTATCTAGGGGGTGGGTTAATGGTTCAACCTTTCAGGTCAAATAGGTTAACGCATAAGGTATAATTAAAAAAAATAAAATAAAATAGTACACAAAAAATGAAACAATTTTGGCCACATCTATAATACTATATACTAATAATATAAACAAAAATAAGTATGATAAACAATAATTATTTTATCAATGATATAAATGAGATGCAAAATTTAAAACCAGTTTGAACATGAAACCATTTCCATATCTAAATGGTAAGTAGGTCAATGATTTAACATTCCGGGTCAAATGGGTCAATCTATGATGTCATAACTAAGTAAGAAATATTATATATATATATATATATATATATATATGAAAATAAGAATTACTTTGATCGATAATGAAAATGAAATACGTGATTTAAAATCAATTAAAAAAGATAAATGGTTTTACCATCCAAGTAGTGGGTTAGTGGTTAAACTATCAATGTCAAATGAATCAACACATGATGTTATTATTAGTTAATAAAATACATAAAGATGTAAAAAATGTAAAAAAAAATATCGAAAATTTTGGATACATTCTATAATATTATATATTCATTATATAAAAAAGTGTGATTAATGAGAACTATTTTCATTAACGATAGAAATATGATAAATTATGATAAAAATAAATAAATAGCATTAGAGTCTAACACATGACCCGACTAACCATGTCAAATGGTTCAATAATTTAATTAGCTAGGTCATCGCAGGCAAGTGGTTTGGTAGGGATGCAAATAGATCATATCAGATTTGAATCAGGGTATATCCAAATTTGATATGATCCAAATATTCGACTGGATCTCATAAATATTGATTCAAATCCAGATCCGACCAAGATGTCAAATATTCAAATATGATACGATATGATTTAATTTAAAAAATAATAAATTATTAAAAGAAAAAGAAAATATAACAGTTGAAATAAAAAACAAAAATATAAGTATTTTTCAACTATTTCCATCATTAAAAAGTTTACAAAAATGCAATATAAATAACATATTTATAAATAAATAATAAATAACATATATATTATATATAAATAATATATACGTAAATATTATATATATAAATAATTTATTTGACCACAATATTAAAAACAAATGTTCAAACAATATATTGGTGAATTGCATTTCATCTTGGTAAATAAGTAATTTTTAGTATCTCATAAATTAAATAATAAAAAATAAAAAATATAACTTTTATAAATTTTATAAAAAAATTGAACATACGTTAATATTATATATTCTTCATATTAAACAAAAATATGTTTGAAAAAATGAGAATTATTGTTAGTAAAGATAGAAATGGCTAAAAAAATGAATTAATGTCTTAATCAAAGTCCATTTTCTTGGTTAAAAAGGTTAACGGTTCAACTAGTAAGGTCATTCGGTTACTAATTATTATCTTCATCATCATTTGATATTGTCACGTGCATAAATAAATGCGAAAAAAATAATTACTTTTATTGACAATTAAAATGGAATACATGATTTAAAATCAACCAAAAAGGAAAAAAAATGGTTTTTCCATCCAAGTGGTCGGTTAGTGGTTCAACTGTCCATGTCAAATGGATCAACACATGATGCTATTATTACATAATAAAATACATAAAATTCTAGAAAATGGAAATGGAAAAGAGATGTAACTCTAGTTCCTTCGGAAATGGTAAGATCTTTGGCGCAAGAAAAAGGGGTTGGTAGATATATAATTTTGGGTACATTCTATAATATTATTTATTCATCATATAAAAAGTGTGATTTAATGAAAATTATTTTCATTAATAATACAAACAAGATAAAAATTAGGATAAAAAATAAAGAGCAATGATTTCTAACACATGACCCCACTAACCATGTCAAATGGTTCGATGATTTAATTAGCTAGATCACTGTAGGCAAGTGGTTTGGTAGGAATGCAAACAGATCAGATCGGATTTGAATTAGGGCATATTCGAATTCGATTCGATTCAAATATTTGATTGGATCTCATAAATATTGAATCGAATATGAATTCAATCAATATGTTGGATATCCAAATTTGATACGATCCAATTTAATTTCAAAGATAATAAATTATTATAAGGAAAAGAAAATATAATAGTTGAAATAAAGAAAAACAAAAAATATAAGTATTTTTTTAACTATTTTCATCATATAAGAAGTTTACAAAAATGCATTATAAATAACATTTTTATAAATAATTAATAAATAACATATTTATAATTAAATAATAAATAACATATACATATTATATATATAAATGATATATATAATTAATTTGACCACAATATTTAAAACCAATATTCAAACAACATATTGGAATTGCATTTCCTCTTGGTAAATATGTAATTTTTATTATCTCGTAAATTAAATAATAAAAAATAAAAATATTGAAATTTTTGTAAAATTTTTAGAAAATCTTGAGCATGCATTAACATTATATATTCTTCATATGAAACAAAAATATGTTTGAGAAATGTGAATTATTGTTAGTAAAGATAGAAATGGCTAAAATATAAAGAAAAAAATGAATTAATGTCTTAATCATAGTCCATTTTCCGGTTAAATAGATTAATGGTTCAACTAGTAAGGTCATTTGGTTGTTTACTTTTATCATCATCATTATCATTTGATATTGTCACGTGCAACGCACATACATTTTTACTAGTAACTACATAAGAGAAAATAAGGTTTGAATAACAGAAAATTTAGAAAATTATTAACCGAAAGATTTTAGAAGAAGAAAATGAGGACGAGGAGAACTTGCATGTTGCAGTGACAACGACAGCGACGGCAAACTACAGCAGCAATAGCAATTACGATGGTGGCAAACTGGCAATGAAAGTATATCTCAAATTTATCAATCTCAGATCTCACTCTCTCTCACTGTCTCACACATCTCAAATATCTCTCATTGTATCGCGCATATTTGCCTCACACATCTTAGATCTCTCTCACTGTCTTGCGTGAGAGAGACAAATCTGAGATTTCTCAATTTTTAAAACCTTGCCACAAACCGTTCTCTAGGTCGAACAGTTCAACGGTCAAACTAATTGGGTCAACGGTTCATTGACTAATTCAACAGTTTTTGACCAAATATCGGGTTTAGAGTAAAATGGAACCGGTCACCTTATCGATTTCCGGTCTGAACGGTCCAACCATCCGGGTCAACAACGATTCAAAAACATTAGGTGTCAACATCAAATTTAATTCATTTATATTCGGATATGAATCGAATCCTAACCGTTATTTTATACGGACTCGAATCTAATTTGGATTGCAATCGGATATTATATAATTAATGAAGTAAATTACAAGATAACACCCTATACTTTGAGGCTAGTGAAATTTATTCCCTGGGTGCATTTTCAAATTACGAAGGGAAAATTCCCAATTAGTACCTTGTACTTTGGGCTTAGTGTCACTTTGGTCATAAAACTTTAAAATGTGACAATTCAGCACTCGAACTTTCAAAACGTGAAATCCAATACCGACCGTTAACTAGTTGTTAACATGAAATCCACTTAACCAATCGTTAAGTGGCATTTGAAAAAGACACAATGCCCTTTGAGTGTCATCTAATTTTCTTTATCAACCATCTAAACATTGACAAAAAATTAAGTCCCAAATCCTTGCCTTTTTTATTCAAATGTGACCCCAAGTTTCTTGAATGAAAGAGGCAAAGATTTGGGATTGTTAATTTGTTGTCAACGTTTAGATGGTTGATAAAGAAAATTAAATGAGACTTGAAGGGCATTTATGTCTTTTTCAAATATCACTTAACCACATGTTAACATCTGATTAATGATAGGTACTGGATTGTCACGTTTTGAAAGTTTTTTGTACTGAATTGTCGCATTTTAAAATTCGGAGACCAAAGTGGCACAAGGCCCAAAGTAAAGGGTACTAATAAGGAATTTCCCCTTACGATAAAGACCC